TCACGATTCCCCACCTCCTCTTCTTGGTGTAGTCGGATCTTCTCATCAATGAAGTCCTTCCTTTGCGCACACGCTGTCCAACTGCTGTCAATCGGCCCCGTGATCTCAGACATGTTCTTGGTAGTGACCCACTTACCTTGGGGCTTCCATAGGAAGGACCTTCAAAAAAGAGCATGATCAAGCACCTGAGGTTTGCTGGGTATGGCTCCATTCTTCTGTCTACCCACTCCCGCCTATCCTGCATCCGTCATCTACCAGTGTGTCGGCACCTGGGTTCTAAGGGTTCTGATGGATTCAGTCGTTATTGATCTGGTGGCAACTCAAACTGTGTGCGTGGCAGTCCGGAACAAAGGCTTAGATAGGCTGAGCCTGAGCCCATGCTCCCTCTCAAGCTCTGGCATCGTACTACCTACTCCAACCCCTTATTGGTCGTGTGCCATGCCCAAGTGTCTCTCGCCTGCGCTCCGCTTTTTCTCCCGCCGAGCGGCACGAAGGCGGGCGTGGCCTCACAGCCTGGGCGGATCAGACCCCCGACGCATCTCTGGACCCGATCAAGTTACAGTACTTAGTTAAAGGTTACATATGCGTTAGATCACAGCGGAGGTGTGTCTGTACTAGATGCGTCCAACGGTGACTTGACCTGCGTTATTTCCAAACAAATCATACAAGTCTAACTTGCTTGTTTAAAAAATGGCAGATATGGATGAAGCAGCAAGATTCGCACTCTCGGCATCAAGAAGCACGGCAGTCAGACTGCAATCTCAGCATCTTCCAGCCGGTTTTTCGCAGGGACATAGACAAGATGATGCCCACCAAAAATGTATTGGAAACCGTGCTGGGGATCACATGGGATCACATGGGATCACTGTACATACCAATCTTCCGCGCCCGAACAAAATCGCCACGCTGTCCCACCCAAAGAAACCACACCAACCCAGGAAACGAGTCCACCCCTGGGTCTTCTGGCCCTTCTGCGCCCGGTGGAGTCGCTGCACCTGCAACCGCCGTTCACCAGCCATGGCCCGGCGAAGCGGAGCAGGTGGCGAAGGAGGACCTGCAAGATGATTTTCCTCTACAACCTGGCTCCAGGGCATCACAAACTGGCTCCAGGGGTAAAACACCCCTTAGTTCGGCACGTTCGCTCCTGGAGTCTTGCGTTTGACCTGCCATCCGGCTAAGCAGGACACCTTCTTTTGCCCCTCTATCCACATGTCCCCACTCCCTGGACAGGTGCTGCACCCACCACCCCGCACAGTGTCGCATCACCTCGCACGGGCCCCCCCGACCATGTCAGGCAAAGGAACGCCTGAAAAGGCTCCATTTGGATCTTTCATCCTCCTAATATCTCCTAACGCTGGTATCTATAAATCGTTTCATTGGCCCTCCCATTCTATAAGCCTCATGCGGATGCCCCGGATCAGATGCCGCAGCCCACTTTCAGAGGTGTTCTCATTGGTGTTGACGTCACACCGTTGGATTCAAACACCCCCTCACCCTGCCAAGTATGGTATGAGCTGTTTTCATGACTGGTCCCAGCATCTGGTTTCTCGCTCGTGCCCACCAGAGCGGCCAAAGCTTCCCGGAGGGGTCGGAGCATTGTGGGCTGCACACCATCTGGGTCGGCTGCACACCATCTCCAGGAGATCTTTTCTCGGCAGCACGGGGCCCCCAGGGCAAAGAGTCGGGAGTTGCGCTACGCAAGCATGGGATAAGCATGGATCATCCAGGCGTTTGGTCCAGAAGAATGGTCTGAAACATAGCTCCAGGAATATACTCCACAGCTTTGCTTTGGACTCATAGGACTATGTGATTGCAGTGGTGATGGTCTCGATGTACAGCCATATGACCGCAATACCCTGAATCATGTTCCAAAGGCGAAGCCATCATCATAAAAGGTGGACACCCAGTGTCGGCACACCTGAGGAGCCCGTCCCAGCCATGTTTTAGGTGCACGAGGTTTGATCTACAAAAGTCTTGGGGATGAAGAGATGGTGGTCTCCTAAATGGACCCAGTCTCCCCCTAAGCATCTTGACCCAGTTTCCCTCCAAATGTTTGCCGTCTTCTGCCTGCCTGCCAAGCGGTAGAAGTCTTCCTCCGAGACTCTTAGGCCAAACCTGCCAGCCACTGACTGCCAGATCAGTGCTGGTGCCCCCAAGGAGAAGAGTGGCCGGGGGCATCTTGGTTCTCAATCAGCCGCGTCCTAAGCCCTGGACGCCTAGGGGGAGAAAGTTTTAGGGTCTTACGTCGAACATCTTCGGAACAAGAAAATGCTAGTCTGATTGCTCCTCTACAAGGGACATAACTGGATGTTGAACTTAGGAGTACAGAGAATGACCAGTAGGCATATGCAGAATACCTGTCTGCGCATCTGACAGTGATTTGACGTGCTTGGTGTTCCAAGGCGCTCGTGCCTTGGCTGTTCTCCAGTCCTGCAATCGTCCGCTGGGTTTTCTGTTGGTCCCGATTGGTCCCTCATCTTGTTTGGATCGCGGATCCCCAGACCATGCCTACCTTTCGAAGAACTTCTACCTGGGACCTTCCCAGCCTTGGGACCTGGACGACGGCCTTACAGTACTCAACGCAGTGACGCAGTCCTGGGCCAAGAGGGGTAGAAAATCGGCATGGTGTCCAGCCTGAGTTCGGCCAGGCAAAATGCGATGGAAGTGACCTTCTCACCGCCTGATGACGTCTCCTAGTGCTCAGTCACGTCACACCACACTCAGTCACGCCACATGAACCCTTCGGTGGTGAGAGGTCGCCCTTCCTAACACGAAAGCCCGTTGTCTTGATGCCTCTTCCAAGGCCACACTCTGTGGAACAAAGACCAGTTGAGCACTGAGGCCATTGCAGGGTGCCATCCACATCGAAGATGGCTCCCTTCACCTCAAAAGTCAAATTTATAGACTATATATATATATATAAGGTTGAGTGGGGAATCTGCCCAGACATTGCTCTTATATGTTCTAAGGGAAAATGCCGAGGCTGCGGAGCGAAGCCGGCACCTCATCGGTCCACGTGAAAAAGCTGAGCTGTCTTCCGCAATGATTGGATTTGGGGCGTGTGCTTCCATGTCTGCCCGAAGCTGTCATAAATCCATGGTGGAGTCGCATACGCGACCCCCGATCTGCTGTCGAAGAAGGAGACCCAGCCCAGGACTCCCAAAATGGTTTGGACTTCCGCCCAGCGCGCCAAACCTCCTATTTTCAACCGATGAAGTCCGCAAAGGAAACCGCGCCAACCGCGCCACATCCTCGGCACCATTAATCTGCGCCTCGGCTTCCTCAAGACGATGTGGCCCGACCTGACTGAGACTCGCAATCTGGCGCAATCATGTTCGAAAGAACTAGCTAGCCACCTCAAGAATGGGACCTTGAGAGTCTTGGCCACCCAGCTGTGACCATGTGGCAAGGCGAAGGCGACTGGCACGACTGGTCTATGGCCTCTGTGCCATGGAGCAATGATAGACCGTGTGGGGTATTGGGCCGGTATGACGCATGTTCCATCACCATCTTGTTTTTCAAAGCACATGCGATTAGATTCCTGTCTGACTGCATGCACAATCATGCACAGTGGAGCATGACCTTCCCAAGTTGACAAAAGAGGGCACCCTTTGTGCCAAGGGCCAATAACTCCCTTTGAGCCGGCTCAGCCAAGCGCTGCAAGCGAGCGAACACACACGCAGTAGTCAGTAGTCGCACATGGTCAACCGTAGCGATGGCCCCTATGTCATTACTGTATATATATATATATACAATATATACATATATATATATCTCTCTCTCTCTCTGGCTGGAGAGCGTGCCATGAAGTAGATCATCAGAGAAAAGAAAAGGCTTGTTCTCGCACCACTCAACGGAAGCCCTGCCCTGCCGAGCTTGGCGCCCCACGCCTTTGATCCCCTCTCAGACGGCCGTGCCTTCATTTGGAGGGTTAAAGGTGAAACGAGGAATGGCACATGCCGGCGAATCACAGCGTGCCTTTTGAAATGCGGCGCACCGGCGATGGAACTCCGAAGGGTTCGGTGCGCTGAGTGAGGTCAAAACTGAGGCCAGCCACGACCAAAACGAGAGAGGGATGCCTGAAATGGACCTCTTTCTGCACATGTGTTGCTAGCTGCTAGCTACTGTGCGCCTTCCCCCAGGCCAAGGCAAGGTGCCTGAAAAATAAACAACTCATTTGGCTGTGCAAGTGCGAAATGTGGAGCCAATCTAACCCAAACACCAAAAGCTGAACTTCTTGTTTAGTAGGGAAACCAGAATCCCAAGAAAAGATTAGAAGTTTATGGTCCTGTCATGAGGTGGCTTCTGGCTTTCTGCAGCCCAGCTGGCCCACTCAGCGACACACTCCATGGGTTCCTGCCCGCTCTCCATCTGCACAAGCCCCGCATTTGTTCGACAAGCCGTGAGGCTGACCAGAGTTTCCGGATTTGTCTCTAAGTGCCAAGAAAAAGGCATCACTCTGGTCTGCACTCATTTATCATTGAAGTTGGAGACAAAAGAGAAAGGCTGTCCGCTTCACGGCTGGGAAACGATCCTTCTTAGGAAAAGGCGAGCTTAAAATTCGCAATTCAAAATCGCATTGCAACGACCCCAACCATGGCCCAAGTAGCCAGACCTATCCTTCGATGACATCTTAACAACTTGTCAACCTTCCAGACTAGGAGGCCTTGCTTTCTGCGTCCAGAACTACATTGGTAACTACATCGTCTGACCACCAACTACATTGATTAAATTCTATAAAGTCTTAACATGTCATGCTTCTTGGGATGCAGGACAGGGGGTGATCGATGATTACCCCACCGTGTCATGCACAGATTCAACTTCTTCCAGTTGCAAGACATGACCAGACCCGGCTTTCAAGCACTTGGCCATAGTTGGATGAGTTCTATGTACAGCAGGCATCGCCACAGATAAACGCAACTTCCGCCGAAATCTCCCCAAATGGCCACGCTCTTAAAGATCAAGACGCCCTAGAGATTCTTGAGCAACTTTTAAATTGTGGTAAGGCGGCAGTCCTGTGGTTGCAGCTGGAAGTTCCATTCCACTCTCGGAATCTCAGTCCGATTCTGTCCATCCGAGACTCGCATCAGCTCGGCCCACACTTGGTCGCAAAAAAATCGCCTGAGGTTGCTCTGCATGGGTCGAGGATGTCAAGGCTACTAAGCCAAGCAAAATCCAACAGAAAGGGACACCTTGATACAGCAAAAATGTCCTTCAGCTCTCTCCTTTGCGTCCAGGTCGTGTTAGTATACGGGCGGACGGTGGATTCCAGAAGATGAACAGAAAGCAGCGTGAACCGGGCTCTGTACGTGTGACCCACAGCCAAAAGAAGAGAGGATGAAACTCCTGCCGAATCCTGCCTTCTTCTGAAAGTTCCATGTAGTTCCATGATATGTTGACCGTGGGCCGACCGTGGGCCCTGAAGGCTTTTTGACATGTCACATCACCTCCGCCAGAACCTGTGGGAACAAAAGAGGATCCGAGAAGACCTAATCCCTCCAACAAACATGCAAGTGGGCAAACCTGCCTCGGTAGAGGAAAATGGCCTTCCACTTTGCCATTGTCCAGTTCCATGATGGTGGGAGGGATCCTCAACTTCCTTCGGGTGGCAACTGTGATCGCGGACCGTCTCTTCTCAAACATCCCTCTGGAGGCTCTCATGGGTTCCGGACCATGGTGGGCTCAAACCTTGGCTGTGCCATTGGTAGGGCTGATGGCTGAAAACTGATCATCTGGGATGTGGAGACTTGACCATTTGCCTGCCTGGAAACGGTGTTAGGGTGTGACAAGGATGTTGAAGGATGGTTTATGGTTTTCTTTAGGACCGGAGATGTTAGAAGCCCATTGATGCTGATGCTGATATACATTCAGATCGAAACGGTTTTCAAGCCGTTCTTAGTGGGTCTATATATCACATATTACTTTAGATATAAAGTGTATATATATATATATTCTCCAGGTTTCTTCCAGAGCACCACGAAGTGTTCCACTCCACGCACGGTGCCGAGCGGCCAAATACCAGACCGACAACGCAGGACTCTCGCAGGGCCCTGCCAGCCGCAGACGGCTTCTTCGCACGCCGGTCGCGCCGCTTTGGATCAAGTCGCTGAAGTTGGGAAGCTCAGCTTTGAATATGTTTCCTTCCTGTTGGATCAGAGTGGAGTTGGAAGTTCAGTCTTGAAAATCTTTCCCTGGATGGACATGCTACCCCTCCGCCAGGACCCACCAGGGTCGCCCGTGCCTTCGACGAGGCGACTGTCCCTCAAGTAGTAGACCTCTTGGAATGTGTGTTCCTCCACTATCTCGACTGGGCCTGGCGGACATAACCAATCCAGAATCGGATTGCTGGACAAAGACACGAAGACAGCTGTACATCGTGGCCGTCGATGGTGCATGTCGCTGGCCAAACAACTATGCCGGCTTCTGCAGTTACAGACCAAAACAGGCGAGCAAACATTCTTTTAATCAGTCACGCCGCGACGCCCATGAACATCTGTCCGAACCAAAATTGACGGAGGAAAAGAAACAAAGAACAGTGGGTTTTCGGAGGACTCGCAGACCGCAAACCGAAAAAGAGAAAGCCACCTCCAAATGTTTGAGCCGTGCTATGCTTGGCTATGCTTGCTTGCCTCTCCACCTCACACCAGGCATCACCAGGTCCCAAACTCGTGTGCCCACCCTCGAGGGCATCGAGGTCATTGGAGCTTAGGATCTGAAGACCCTCCTGGAGCCGAAGAAGCCCAAGAAGGCGGTGAGAATTCTTCGGCGCGGTTTCGGGGGCCACGGCCCCATCTATGTGCATGTTGAATCATATTGATGTGCATTCTGTGTATAACTTGTGAAGAATTGAAGCATTGAAGCCGGTCATCCTTGTAACAATTAGATTGACATATGTATATATCCGCCGACCCCGGCTGAAGAAAGGGGGAGCGCGCCAGGGATTACAGGTGTGGGAGTGCTCACCATGGATGCCGGTGCCTGTGAATTTCTTGTGGCAAGGTCTGTGCTTGGGCCCAGGTTCGCAGGGTACGGATGGGCCAGAACGTGGGTGATGGGCGAGAACATGGGCGCACACTAGTCTTTTTCTAGGGATCCAGACGCGACGTTTGGCCCCGAATGTGCGATCA